TGTTGAAATTTTTTTCAAAAAAAAAATCATAAAATTTATTTCAGTGGATGAAAAACCTTCAAGCAGGTAAAAAATGTAGTTTTTTCATGGAAATCTAACAAAAAAAAATTACTAAAGATATGTTGTATTAAACATTACATATTTTTACATTTCTTTGTTACGTTTGAGTTCGCTAAAACTTTCATTTTGATTTTGGTAAATTTATTTGTAAAATTTACAAAAGTGCAATGCCAAGTTATTAGCAATTTTATCGATTATTACTTCTAAACTTTTACTTCGAATGAGTCATACAAATATTTTACTCTTCAAAATATACACTATCTTCAAAATATACACTTCAAAATATTTTACTTCAAAAGTGGTTTTATAGGGGATGGAGATAGCTTTGGTGCAGAGGTATATGGTGTGCTTTTTGGGGCAAGAAAATGTGACCAACTGGGTTTGCAAAAAGTAGCCATTCAAACTGATAATGAATCCTTAGTTCATATACTTGGTGATATGAAGCATGTGCCATGGAAGTATTATTTCCAGTTAATGGATATTTATCATATAATTGAGAGGCAAGATTACACAATTCAACACATATTTCGAGAAGCCAACTCAATGGCGGATGGCCTAGCTGGTGAGGCGTCACTTGGAATATCAACCAGATATAACTCTATGAGTACTTTGCCTAGGCATATACGAGGACTTGTACGTTTAGATCAGGTCTCCTTTCCATATTTACGAACTCGTTATAAATAGTCTTTTGTATACTTGTAAGTTTTAAGCACTGCCAAGTTTCTAGGGAACTGCATGATATCTATGTCCATCCCTCGGGTATACCCCTTGGGTGCATACTATCATCCAGCTATAACTGTTTCAAAATTCATCTCTTGGGTAGACCCCTTGAGTGTTTTTGAAGTAGTTAGAACCCGAACTTTCTGGCATTTTCATTTATTTAAAAAAAAAACACTATCTTGAGTACGAAATATATAAAAAAAAAACATAATTTACACAACAAATACGGATAAGAATTACTATATCACAAAACCCCACACAAATTTATCATATTACGACGATAGCAATTGGCTCACATGTGATCATAATTTTATAATTTTACACAATATATATAATACAACCCGGTGCAACGCAGGGGATAATTGTAGTATTTTAGAATTGTAAGGGAATTTTCTAGATTTATAATTTTTAGTTTTCTATGAAGAATTATCTAGAACTCTAGGGGCTTGAGTTGGCAACTACAAATACCTCAAGCCCCCCATTGTAAAGCATGAAGAATTCAAGTTCACAAGTCCCCATTGCAAAGCCCCTCATTCTTTCCTACTTCCGTTCTTTAACCCTTCAACTTTCCTATCCGTTTCTTTTCAAGAGTTTTGAGAGTTTTAAGGGTTAGGCTGAGGTAGCATTCATCGTTAACAGTCTAGAGTGCTAGAGCCGCACGGTTTGAAGTAAGAAAATTGTTAACTCCTGAAAGTTGGTATCAGAGATTCGGCTCGATACATACGCTTCCGTTTGTTATTAAATTTTGTGTATCATGTCTAGTCCATCGGAAGTTGTTCAAGGTGTGGAGGTCAAGTGCGGAACCGTAAAGGCAATGTTGTTAAGCTCGCTCGGACCGACCGGGCAACCGGTTAAACCGGGACTCGGACCATATGTGGAGCCAAATTGCATAAAACTCGCTACTTCAAGAGGTCAAAATCGGTCAAGATTCCGAGCGAACCGGAAACCGGTCAAACCCGGGTCGACTCGGAGTTTTTGGTTTTTCCACAATTTGACCAGTTTTTTTTTTTTTACTTTTTTCCCTTGGACTCAGTGTATTCCTTTATCTTTTTGGTCCAAATCTTTGTCTTCTATTCTTAAATGGCCCAACAACTTTTGTTCAAAGAATTAATTTGTCATTTTAACCCCAAACTTTTCACTCCAAATTATAAGACACACCATTTTTATTAAAGAAAAATCCTTTTATTATTTTTCTCACATATAAACCTCCATTGTTTTGTTCAAAATTAAAACATATCTCAAATATATTGAAATTGATTTTTATGTTATACATTTTATTAATACTAAAAAGTTGATTATCTTATAAATTTATAAATTTAAATTACTAATAATTAATTTAGCAATTGTTAAATTAATATACTTATTTTAATCTATAATTAAATTCTTTAAAGTAATATTTTTGAGTATTACCATAGAAAAAGATACATAAATATTAAGTTTTTTAAAAATTAATATATAATAATTATATAATTTTTATTACATCATAATGACGTCATCCGAGTCGACCCTCCCCCCTCCTCCCCCCACGAGTCGACCCGAATCGATCCCTAAAACACCTGACCCCTACCCTTGCCGAGTCGGTGTCCGAGCCGAGTCTGACAACACTGGCTAAAGGGGCTCGAGGGCTCTGGAGGCCCTCCGACCCGCTGGAGAGCCTCTTAAGGGTCTATGGCTGACCTCCACCACAAATCTCAGCCCCCAATTCTGCAAAACGAAGGGGGCTTGAGAAAGAAGATGAACAGTATTCTTTTTTAATTTGATTTTAAAAGAATGATGGTGTAATACCCCAGCTTCATAGACTGGCCCAACAACTTTCAGATTTTCGTCCTCGCTAGCCCAAAATGGTAAACTCAAGTTGTTAGTAGTTTATGAGCCTGAGACTTATATACAGGTCATTCACTTTGCCAGGTAGCGATGTGGGATAGCATGTTACAGTCCAACCCCTTTGGATCTTTGCGTCCTCGCAAAGACCAACAAGCAAGAATGTGACTCAGTCTTCCCCCGGAATATGACTCTAGAGGTGACTCCCGTGTTTCGCACTTGCCCCGTCTGCAGGCTCAGAGGTGTCTCTACACTTGTCCTGTTAGTGGGCTCAGAGGTGTGTCCGCACATAGCACTTAGCTCCTAGACCAGGGTCCGCTCTGATACCAGTTGTAACATTCCAGTCTCATAGATTGGCCCAACAACTTTTAGGCTTCCGTCCTTGCTAGCCCAAAATAGTTAACCCAAGTTGTTAATAGTTTATGAGCCTGAGACTTATGTACAGATCATTCACTTTGCCAGGTAACGATGTGGGACAACATGTTACAAATCATTCACTTTGCCCAACCCCTTTATGCTTTAGTCTCATCTACAGTCCAGCCCAAATGGAATTCCTTTTTTTTTTTTTTAAGAACCCCTTGCAGGCTTTATCCCACTACTTAACTAGAGAGCAGCCCAATATTTTTCTTATTCCTAATGCTTAAAAAAACAAAAATCCCCAACACTTTTAATAAAATTAACGTGAGCTTTTCTCCATTGCAGCCAGCCAACTCGCGATCAAAAATTGAGCCGCTTCACCGCCTCCTTCAACAACAACCGCTACCCACTTTCACAATTTCATTTAAAGATTTAAAGGTTCGAGTTTTATTTTTTTATTTCACGAATTTTTTCGTCATTTCCCAAATATTTGTCCAATTTGTGAATTTGCGTTTGGGCGGGTTTTTTTAAAAAACATTGTTCGATAAATTTATGTTCATAATAGTGTTAACTTTTTGTTGTTAGTTATATGTTGAAAAATTGAAGTTGATTGAATTTATTTTATAATTATTTAAGTATTGCTATGACTTTGAAAAAATATTTTAGTCCGGTTCCTAATTCAAGCCTCAACGCTTCAACATCCAATGCTATATCTATGAATTTGTGTGACATTATGTCGCCTAATGTGAATTTTGGAACCGATAATGTAAATGATTCATTGGGAAATACGACACATCAAATGAGGAAGGTAGTAGCAAAAGACCCCGAAGAGAAATACAAGTTGATAGCAATCTAGAAGATGAATCTAATTTTGTTAAAGGAACCATCATCGAGAAAATACGGAAAAAATGTTTAAAAGTGAAACTCTAAAAGAGTACGAAAATTCACAAATAAACTAGACCGTTGAAATAGAAATCCACTATCATATGAACTCAAACAAAGCTCAAACACAAAATCCTAATAATTACCCGGATCGAATAACTTAATCTTATAAAAGATGAAACTCTTCAATATAATCGAACAATCACCCATATAATTGACGATACATCCTATGAGCAAATCACTCACTTAACTACAACAAACCAAACAAATATATATGCTATATTGGTAAGGACACTATCATGACCAAGGCAATAAGCAATCAAAAACACATTATTCATCATGTTATTTCCATGCAAATTCATCTATATCAAATAGATAAACCAACGAGGTATCCTACAACCCTTGGATACAAAGAATTTGAGAAAACCAAGTAATCAAACATGCTCAACCTATCGACCTTCATATCAAAAGATGATAAGAATAATTAGTTTGAAAACAATTAAATCATGCAACACATAAAAAATGATAAAACGGTTTAACTCAAAGAACCAAGCCACACGTTAGGCTCTAAGAAAGAAAGAAAGAACTAACCATTCTTCTCCTTCAAAACATAAGAAACGCTCATTGTTTAAGAAAAACCACAAAGGGCTCTAATCAATTTATTTGATTTAATAACTCACAATTTTCGACACACACTTGTGAGAGGATTTGGCCACCTTATATAGGCAAGCTTCCTTGCTCTCCAAGACAAAATTCCTACTATTAAGCCTTTACTTTAGGCCAAAGAAACTCTACTTTCGTTGTACTACTCGATCCAATTCACAGAAAGGAAAGACATAGTCAATTTTGACTCAAACTCTAACTAAACTTAACCATCAAGCAAAGTAATTAACTTTACTTCTTTTAATAGTAAAAGACTATTCTACCCTTAATGAAATACTCTCTAGGGCCGGCTATACATTAACCTTTATACCCTATTTATGAAAACCCTAGGACTCCCTCTCGGCCGCCCTATTGAAGTTACCTTTATGGTAAACTTTTTATTTTAACTCTAGGTAAATAGACTTATTATCTATTTACGGACTCAACAATAATTTAAATAAATATTTAGATATATTCCCCGCGTGGCCCTTCCTCTTCTTTGGCGAGCACGGCTCCATTCAAATCTTCAACTTCAATTTGATGTCTTCTACACACTTGAATGTGTACTCTTCAAGACACTTGGTCTTTGGAACAAACTCACTTGAATCAATCTCTTGGACATCATTTCCATCTTCATCACTTGAATCATTCCACTTGCTAGGGAAATCAACACTTGACTCCTCAGACACTTGTTGATGATTAAGCGATTCTTCTTCAACCTCATTATTCCCACTAGAAGGCGTTGGTGAATACTCCTTCAAAGAAGGCCAAGGTCTCATAGTAAACTTTCTTCTATTCTTAAACAGAAACAACCTTGGACCACCAACTAACAAGAACACCTATTGCTGCTTCATTTGATGTTGACTTCAATGTGAAGCTACATGATTCTCATCAGAAGTGGCAGATGATGATATTATTGGTGATCTAGGATTACATAAAACGATTGATTTATATATCCTGTTAGTTTGAGAGATAAGTTGACAAGACGGTACTTAACAAAAGGACGTTGTGTGTGATGTGTATAATTTTCCACAAACAGACTTTAGTGGAGTCATGAGAAGTTTTTCAATTCCATTGGTGTAAAGAGTTTGACTGGTTAGAATATGATGAGAAATTAGACGCTGCATTTTGTTTCTTGCGTTATTTGTTCTTTGGAGGACATCATAAGAACGGGGATAATGTTTTTACTGAAACTGGTTTTAGGTCTTGGAAAAAAGCTTTAGAAAAGTTTCACAAGCATGAAGGGAAAGAGAACAGTAGACATTGTTATGCTAGGGATCAATATTTGGGTTATAAAATTCAAAAAGGTGATGTAGATTATGCCTTAGTTAATCATATGAGGAAAGTGAAATTGCTTATCTCATTCGGGTAACAGCTATTCTAGAAGTGATTCGATTGATTATATGGCAAAACACCTCTACATGGGCTTGATGAGTCAGAAAAATCATTGCAACGAAAGAATTTTTTTGAAATTATGAAGTGGTATTGTGATTGAAATAAAGAAGTAGATGCAGTCATGTTCTCAAATGCTTCAGAGAAAAATCAAATGACTTCTCCTAAAATTTAGGAGGAAATGAGTAATGCTTATTCAAAAGAGGTGAGAAAGGCTATCATCAAAGAAATTGGAAATAGATATGTTTCTCTTTTAATCGATGAGGCGCACGATAGGTCAATATAAGAACAAATGTCTATAGTTTTTAGATTTTTCAATGGTTTTGGAGAAGTGATTGAGCAGTTTCTTGGTGTATTGCATGTCGCTGACACTTCTGCAGTATCTTTGAAAAAAGGAATTGATAATTTTTTTGCAAAAACTGGCTTATCATTGTCAATGGTGAGAGGGCAAGGTTATGAAAAAACTTCTAACATGCATCGAGAGTGAAATGGGTTAAAATAAAGGATTTTAACGGAAAATAAGCAAGAATATTGTATTCGTTGTTTTGCTTACCAACTTCAATTGGTTGTTGTGGCCACATCAAAGCACCATAGACAAGTGTGTGATTTTTTAATTATCTTAGTATGATTGTAAATGCTGATGGAGCCAAGTGTAAAATAAAGGACTCTCTTATGCAAAAACATAATGAAGATCTTATTGAGTGATTAGAAAGTGGTAAAATTACTACATGAAGAGGTAAGAACCAAGAAATAAGTTTAGCCCATCCAGGTGATATTCGTTGGGCTTCTCTCTTTAACACACTAGTTTGAATATTGGAAATGTGGGATGCGGTAAAAGATGTGCTCGAGAACATATACGAGGATGACATTGATCCATAAAGTCGAGGCATCGGTGGTTTCATTGATAAAATGGTGGATGTTTAATATTAGCAAAGACAAATTGATTGTAAATGGCCCTGGAACAAAAATATCAAAATATAGACAATTCTATGCCTAGTCGGGTTAAAAGGCAAATGACAGTTGATGGAAAACCAAAGACCTACCACCATTACTTGAATGTTGATATATTTTGCCAGGTACTTTTTTTCTTTCATTCTAAATAGCAAGCATTTTATTTCATTCTAAATCAAATGTGGCTTTCAAGGACCTCAATGATATTGGAGATCTCGAAAAATAAAAAATGGTTTCAACAAAATGGTACAAGCTTTACAGACTGGTATATCAACTCATCAAGGTTGCGTTACTTTTGTCCGTATTGACAGCTACAGTTGTAAGATCATTCTCCAAGATGAATTTTATTTAGAATGATTTGTGCAATAGGATGGGAGATGATTTTCTCACGGATGGTATATTGTGTTACATTGAGAAAAAGATTTTTGTTGGCATCGGAAATGAAAATATTTTGCAGCAATTTCAGAAGATGGCACCTTGAATGTTTCAATTGCTTCGTATTACTGTGTCTAACTCTCGTTAAATGTAAATTTTTAAATATTTTTTAATAAATTTTGCATTATTTTTTAATACTCTAATATAGACCAGCCAGTCCCCCTGAATATGAAATGCTGGTTCCGCCACAGGTGGAGGTTGAGGGTGCTAATCACGTTTTTCGTGAGCCAGAGAGGACTTCTCCTCGAAGGGCAACCCATAAGGAGAAGTCCATTGCTAGTGATCCGATGGTCGACTTTGAGAAATGGCTTGCTAAGGTGGAGTTGGTCGTGGCTGACTATCGTCGTGGGGAAGAGCATGCTTCCACGATAGAAATTATCTTTAAGGAATGCATGGAGCAATTCAAGGGTGAATTGCAAGATATCATGTAATAAATGCGAGAAGACATGCTCGGGGCACTTAACAAGGTGTTTGCGAGGGTAATTACTGCTTGCGAGGAAAATGAAGCTAAGGTCACCATGCTCCAAGGTGATGCGTTCAGGGGTGAGTTTGAAAATTATCAGGTGCAAAGAGAGCAACTCAAGGTACAAGTGGATGCTCTATGTGCACAAGGGACGACCAGAATTGGAGGGCCAGCTCCATTTTTTGATGTACCAAAACCAGATATTTATGATGGTTGCCGCAAGACAAGGGATGTAAAGAATTTTTCCTACGAACTTAAGAGTTACTTTGATACTATGTGCTTCATGGATGATCAGGTAAGACTCTATGAAGTCTCTTGTGATTTGAAAGATAGTGTTTTATATTGATGGAAACAAATGACGAAATCAGTACACCAAGAGCTCCACTCTTCAAGACTTGGAAAGGATTTAAGGAGGAATTTAAGATGAATTTTCACCAGACTGATGTTGAAAACAAAGCTCAAGCTAAACTTCGACGCTTACAGCACAATGAGGCAACATCAAGGAATATGTGCAGGAGTTTTCTGAAATTATGCTTAAAATTCATTACCTCTCACCCAAAGAAGCTTTGTTTACATTCATGGACGGCCTGAATCGTGGGGCTAAACTAGAGTTGCAAAGGAGATATGTTCGAGATGTTAAACAAGATATGCGCATAGCAGAATCTTTTGTGGAGTTTCAAGATAAAAATAGCAATAAGGACATGGGTAAGAAATTTTTCAGTGTCACAGGTGGAGAAAACGACATAACATTTTATCCAAAATCATTTGAAGGAGCAACGATCACCTCTAACAAAGAGAAGTCAAAAGTTGAGAAACCCAGAAATTTGAGGGTTGTTTTTTGTATGAAGGATCTCATTTGGTTCGTGACTGCCCATCTCGCAATCAACTCCGCCGCCATAGCTCAAAATTTTCATGAAGATGATGATTTGAGACACAGGGCATGTAGGGATGATGTCCCATTCAAGTGAGAGTGAGTGACACGGTCCAAATATTGGCCCAATAATTTTGGTAGACTTGGGCCTATTTTGAAGTATTGGGTCATACCTAATATCCAGAAGATTCTAGAGCGTCCCAAAACTTTCTAGAGGTTTGTAGAATATTAAAAGAATTTTTTAAAATCATATAGTACTGTCTGGAATATTGTGGAAGATTCTAAAATATTTTAGAATTGTAGAGGGATTTTCTAGATTTGTAATTTTTAATTCTTTATGTAGAATTATTTGAAACTCTAGGGGCTTGAGTTGGCAACTATAAATACCCCAAACCCCCCATTGTAAAGCATGAAGAATTCAAGGCGTTGAATTCTAGTTCACAAATTCTCTCAAGCTCTCTTTAAGCCCTTATTCTTTCCTCCTTCGTTTCTTTAACCTTGACAATTTTTCCTACTCATTTCTTTCCAAGAGTTTTTAGAGATTTAAGGGCTAGGCTGAACTAGTATTCATTATTAGTAGTCTAGAGTGCTAGTACCGCATAATTTTAACTAAGAAAATAATTACCCCTGACACTAAAACCATAATTATCGGACGTAGTTCGGTTTTAGAATCCAAAATAATTTACCTACCGAAGACTATATTGTAATCTCTACTATTATATTGATGAACTTGTGATAATTTATTGGTTTCTCTATTATTATTGAGGCATCTGCACATAAACATGAGATGTGGGCAACTGCCGAGTTATGACATGTGAATAATTTGAGTATTACATTTTTGGTTATATATATATGAATGACCCGATTAGAGTGAAGATTTAGCTGATATAGGTATCAAGAATCGGCAATTTAATTAGGTTATTGGTTTACTAGTTTGACCGATTTGAATTGATCTTTAAAGCGAGTAAAAACCGGTGTGGGCAGTTGCCAAGTTATGACAGGTGAATAATTTGAGTATAATCTTTATGGTTATATACATGAATGAACCTGTCAGAATGAAGATTTAGCTGATATAGGTATCAAGAATCAGCAATTTAACTAGGTTATTAGTTTACTAGTTTGACCGATTTGAATCAGTCTTTAAAGCCAGAAAAAAAAATGGTTATCAAAAATATTTATGAAATATTTTTTATTCTAAATTTCAGAAAATAGTTCAACTCAAACCAATTCTTGTTCAAACTACGGTTTTATCTTAGTTTGACTGCGTTTGTTCGATTTTTATGTTAATCAGTTATTTACTACAACTGGATTGAAAAGACCTCCGGTTCTTAGTCTAGTCCGGTCCGATATTCAAAACAACGAGAAATTGGATCATCAAATTAAATCATCTGTGTTCTAAGAAACTTACTATGTTGTTGATTGTTTTGCAACATCACCGATGTGTGAGAAGTTTTCAGAAATTAAATAATGTATCAATAGTGATTAAATTATAGTTGAAACATTATGTAATTGGCATTATTCATTCACATAATATGTTAATTAATGTGTTGTCTTTTTTTTATCGAAGGAGAAAAATAATATAATCAAACTTAAAAACCAAATGATGTGAACATCCATAGAAATCAAGTCCAAGATAATCAAGGTGTTCGGGTTCCAAGTACTGTCCA